ATGATGACAGTTGAAGGCACTGGCTACATTCAAGAAATGTACCATATCGGGGTGCCTGGGTGGCTCAGTGGGTTAAAGCCTCTGCCTTCGGCTCGGGTCATGATCCCGGGGTCCTGGGATCGAGCTCCACATCGGGCTCTCTGCTCTGCGGGGAGCCTGCTTCCTCCTCTCTCTCTCTCTGCCTGCCTCTCTGCCTACTTGTGATCTCTGTCTGTCAAATGAATAAATCAAATCTTTAAAAAAAAAGAAATGTACCATATGAAAAAGAAAAATGGAGTGCCATAATTCATGGTACAGAAAAATTGACTTTAAATGCCAATGCTATTTGAAATATACTTAAGTGAAAGAATCCTAGGAGAAAAATAAGAGAAAAATCTTGGAGAGGAATGAACGGGACTCTGAGCATTGACATAAAAATGAAAATCCAATATTTATCTCATATATCTGATTTAGAAAAGGTCACAGGCCAAGGTTACTTTGTCCACAGTGAATCACATACTCTGGGAGAGATGGTGATGGCAAGTCCTGGTGATGCAGATGGTCAGTAATCGCAGATATTGGACAGGCTACATGTTAAGGTTTCATAAGGCACAGAAACAGTGGTGAAATAATGGGGAATATTTAGCAAGTTGATCCAAAAAAGTGAGAGCTAAAGGCTGGTTGGTAACAAGTTGACTGGCAACTCCTGGAAGTAAAGTAAGTTGGATGACTGAAGCTGGACCCACAGCCCAGAGATTGGAAACCAGTGCTTCCACAATGAAGAGACCCAAGGCCAATATTTCCACATCCCAGAAACCCCTGTAATTTGTTTGACAGGGACTGAAGAAGATGGAATTCTTTGGGAAGAAGCAGGATTTCTGGTAGTATCTGGCTCCAGCACAGGACGTCCTCAAGCCAGTAGGCTCACAGCAGATCTCCTGATAACCACTGAAGACAGAGGAGCCCAGCTGGCAGGTGCTGGGAGAGTGGACTACATTGCTGGGGTAGAAAGAATCATAGGTGGAACATGGGTACCCCAGGTAACCTCCAAGAGAGTGGGAGGAGAAGTTTCCAGGGCTGCAGTTGTAATGCATGTCAGGTTCTGAGTTCAGCTGAGTTGCAGAGAGGTTTGCTGAGTGTGACTGTTACCTTCTACTGGACGCTTATATAAACTAGCAATGGGTTAGTAGCATGTGCCCATTTTAATAAGAATGCTTAATTAGTCTCCAGTCAAAATGAAATACATTAACCTTCAAAGACTTTTTTTTTTTAATGAAGGCAGACTTTTAAATGAAAGAATTTCATTAGGTTTTCAAAGCAATTGTTTATGAGCAAAGATGTCATCTCTCATTCAACTAGCTTGGG